GTAAAGTCATCTACCACAGAGACAATTGTTTGTTATGCTGCAGTCAGCTGTCAATACAGTTGGAAGAGCGCTGGACACATCTAGGATGCATTATTCTCTATTTGAGAACCTGTCCAACTCTCAGCCAATTGTCCATGCATGTTGAAAACAGGCTTTACACTAGACACTTTCAAACACTGCTTTTGTCAGTCCTAAATGTAGTCAGACTCAACTGCAATTGAGCTATTTGTTACAGACTCCCGAGCTTTAAAACCTCATTTACATTGGCAGCACATACCTGCCAATGTAGTATAAATATAGGAAATACAGGCCTACTCTATTCATGTACTGAATACAAATATAATCTGAAGGACCATCTCTCTTTAATTATTTGATTGCCACAGATATGGGGCTTTGTAACATTTTCCAGCTCAGTTTGGGGAGGATGAGCACTGTTCCTACTGATTTGTCTCAAATTAGGCCAGCGGTTTCTTAACCTGTGGGTCGCGACCCAAAAGTCACTGTTGAGGGGGTCGCAGCATCCACTTCTGCTGCGCTAGGTGAGAGGCTCCTCAGCCCCCTCCTAGCGCAGCAGTGTCAGTATAAAAGTGCCGCTGTACACACTCCCTGGCCGCTGCAGTGACATCTAGTGGCCGGGGTGTGTGTACAGCAGGGCTTTTCTATTTACAGCCGCTGCTGTCCTACTGCCTGCCATACAATGTGATCTCTGCAGGAGGCGGGCGTCTAAGCAGTGCTGGGGCTGAGAAGGCTGCATGGAGACAGAGTAAAGTTGGGGATGCAGCAGCTTTAATATTATATTCATATAGAGTGGGGGGAATGAGGACTAGTGGTAATCTTTGTGTACATATAAAGTGAGTAGTTAAATGTTGTGTACATTTAAGCCAAGATTTGAGAACAGTATGTACCACCACTACACCTAAATTTCCCATTGTATGTGCTCTATATGTTTATTCTGTAAGTCCTTGTTCGCACACCTCTGAAAAGTGATCCGCAGTGGAATGTTTTTCAGAGGTTGTTTAGAGCCGGCTCACAGGAGTTCAGGAGGCGATACTGCCGCCTATTTAATGGCTCTTTTTTTAATCCCCAATGGGGATTTTACACTGAAATACCGATCCCATTAACTTCAATGAGCACGTTGGCCAAATAGTACCGCCCGCCAAACGTGACATGCTGTAAACATTTTGCCCTGACCATGTATACAACCTGAGCCGCAACCATGTAAAATTGTAGGTGGGTGGTAAAAATGTGGATTAACCGCCTGTTTTCACCACCCCTTTGCTGCCTGTGTAAACAAAGCTTTACTCTAAATATACAGAGGGGAAAAGACAAAATCTGGACCTGCTGTGCATGGCAGCCAATCAGCTTCTCTCTTTCATTTTAAAATCTTAACTGAACAAACTGAAGAGATAACCTGATTGGTTGCCCTAGACAACTGCTCCAGATTTTGTCTGCTCAGTTTTGATAAATGCCTCCTCACAGTATATTATTAAATCCTTGGCTTAATGTTCTAGAGCAGCTGTCTCAAAGTACCGGCCCGTGGGCCACTTGCGGCCCGCGAGGCGGTACTATGTGGCCCGCAGCCACGTGACAAGTCAGGTACAAGGTTATGGACCGCATACCTGACTTGCAGGAGCAGCTACACGGTCTGCATCTCTATCGGATGCAGACCGCAGAGCTGCTCCTCCCGACACTGAGATCTGCAGCAGACCTCACTAATCATACATATGTGTATGGGGAGAGTGTATTAGGCTACATTCACACCTGTATCTTTAGGTGCAATTAGGAATTCCTGCATCAGGAGCATTTTCCTGCAGCCGCTGCATGTAAACGCCTGCATACCGCACGTAAAGATATGTGATATGATTACATTTGGTCAGGAATCAATCATTCTTCCTGGACGCATCGATTGTGCAACCAGGGAGAGTGTTTTCTAATCTCATGTAATCATGTCGCATACCATTACATGCTGTATGCAGGCGTTTACATGCAGCAGCTATCACCTGATCATTACCTTGAATAGGTGACAGCTGCCACTTGTAAACACCAGATTAGGTATTCCTGCTGCAGAAAAACGCAAATTCCTGACGCAGGAATCCCTAATTGCACCTAAATTTACAGATGTGAATAGGACCTTATTGTGTGTGTATTGGGGTCCGAAGTACCATACCGGATATAATTACATTTTATTTTGATGTACGAAATTTAGCAAGCGACCCCCATTGGAGAAAAAAAATTGTCGAGTGGCTGCCGAGTCAAATGAGTTTGAGACCCCTGTTCTAGAGGGAAATGTTGGTCAGCCAGGCTGGATTTTCATGGCTGACTATAATGGTTGCCCTGTGATAATGTGAGCACCTGTGGAAAAAAAAATGTTGGAAGGTGAAGAATATAATCATGTCTGACCATGATTTCTTATCTGTGGTTAACTTAGGCTGCACACAGACTTCATAGGTCAGTAAATGGTGCAGGCACACTTCTACCGACTTCCAGGCAAATTATCAAAGCACTCTAATAAACATTGTCAAGAACTCGCTTTTTAGCGGGTAAGGGTCGTAACAGGGAGGAGGCTGTTGCCAACTTATTGCCCAAAGAGGAAAACGCTCCTTCTGATAGCAAGTGGTCAGCTGGCTAGAGGAACACCCACAGCTATACAACGGTTATCTAAGGTTGCCACTTTTCCCACAAAAAAAAAACTGGTTGCATGATCCGTTTCCTGTTATATCACTGCCAGTTGTCCCATTGTTACAGGCCAGGCGGCACCCATATAAGCTCATCCCAGGGGTCTCTGAAGGCCTGTGTTAATGGCATTTGGGCTTGTGTTTATAGCATCAGCTTCAGATGGGATCATTTAGAACCTTGGTTCTCAACTGGTGGGTCGTGACCCAAAAGTGGGTCGTGACCCCCGTGTTCAGTGGGTCACCACATACCTTCCACTTTTCCTAGGTGAGAGGCAAATGTGAGTATCAGCTTGAGGTGAGATGGGATGGAGCAATGGCCGTAAGGGAGCTCCATCCATACGTGCATTGCTTACAGCTCCCTCACGTGTCTTATAGAGGTGCCTTGACCGGAGTGACGTCACATTCTGGCTCCCGCCACCTCTACAGGGCGTGCAAGGGAGCTGTACAAGCAATGCACATATGGACAGAGCGTCACAGCACAGCAGCCCACACTGGACTCCAGGCTGAGGATCCACTCCAGTTCTCATAAGGTAGGGAGACTAGGAAACTTACACACTCCAAAACTTTTTTTTTTTTTTATGTGTGTGAGATTGTGTTTGTGGTTGTGTGTGTCTGTCACTGTTTTTGAGGGCCCGTTCACACTAGTACAGTGCATTAATCGCATAGTACCTTGCAATTAACGCACTGTATCACGCAATTGCACCTACCGTGCATTCTGGTGTGGGAGGTCTGTTGCATTGCCATTCATTTGAATGATACCCCAAACGCACCTCCCACCCAAAGTTCGTACACCCAATCCGGAATGCGCGGTACCCTAAAGCCGTGCGTTCTGTTGCAGTGGACAAATGTTGGTCCTGAGGTTACACAGGTTGATCACTACTGATTTAGAATTAATAGATAGGTGCACTTCACCACCTTCTGACCTGCATTTGACCTGCTTCAGGCAGTCTTTTGCATTTCAATAGACTTGTATGGGAGTGCAAAACCCACTTGAAGTTCAAAAAAAAGATCCTCGACACTGACCCAGGGCCAATTCAAAGCACATTGGTACATTGGGCTGCGTTGCCTAATGTAGGTCCAATGCAATAACAAGCCAAGATTGCTTGTTTCCAATGGGCTCAGTTCATCTGACATCCATCTGCTGATCTCCCCACTGAATGTGGCTGGAAATGACGCTGATTGCATCACTTCTGAGCTGTTATTCCCTGGCGAGAGAACCTGGGGAAGAAGCTGACCAACCATGATCTGTGCTTGATCAGCTTCATGGTGTGCAAAGGTGACATTACGGGACAATTTGGGGTACCATATTTTCTTGCCGTTTCATGTGTGCACGCAATTTTTCAGTTTGGCATGCTGGGTATCTATTTACTCAGCATAACCCCCACTTGTGCATGGGGCTGATCAGATGAATCTCACAAATTTCTCCATGAGACTTATGCGAATAATGAGCAGAATGTCCATGCACCCATCGCCCCCCTGACCATGTAGTTTGTGTAGAATAATGGGTGCAGGCAGCGGTGATCAACGGATGATGCCGTACTAAAGCAGAAGACAAGTAGGACACTGACACTCCCAAATCGCTGATAATCATGTCTTTTATTGACGCATGTGCAACAGTTCACATAGTAGCCCTGTTTCATAGTAGCCCCACTTCATGGAGGGGATCCTGCATGACCCCAAAATGTCCCTATGTGAAATTTTGCAAATGCGTCAATAAAAGATGTGATTATCAGCGATTTGGGAGTGCCTGTGCTACTTGTCTTTTCATGCAAATATTGTTCAGGGCCGTTTGCATGTCATCGGACATGCTGTCATAACCAGGTTAGGCAGGAAATCACAGCATATGTCCGATTACATGTGAACGCCATGAGTGCTGTCAGCTATTCACCGGCGTCTCATGTAGCACTTTGTGAGAGTCACCCATTAACATGTGTGAATGGGGCATGACATTTTTTTCTCTTCCATTTTGTTTTTCTCATAGCACCCCATTTTTCAATCCTCTTTGTGAATAATGTCGTAATTCCTTGTACCAGAAAACGTCATTGTTTACATTTACCAAACTTAAAAGTACCTACAGCAAAAACCCTTTTTTGACAAGTGTAATAATAGTACGAATCCCTCCAAGCTCTGAAGAGTATTGTAGCACTCAGAGCAGAGGATTTCACATGGAAGGCAATGGCTAATTATCTCCGGCCATTATATTTATATAACATAAGATATGTTCACTTCTCCCTCAGAGCCAGCCGGAGAATGTGCAAGGGGCGGTGCCCTTGTGGGGAGCTCTATTGGTCAGGCTCTTGTCACTCATAATGAGGGCTGACTGGGCGGCTCCTCCCCGTCCCCAGTCATGTGATCTCCTCGTGTGCCGTGGAATGCTGAAATGGAGCAGCGCAGAGGTACCGTATGTGGGCATGCAGAGGAGAGTCAGATGGGCTTCATAGTACCAGCAATGTACCTGTGTGTAGGAGCAGTGCGGATCCGAATGAGGTCACGTGATGCTCCTATTTCCTTGTTTAGTGTACATGAGAAACATGCTCTTTATAGTGAGAGAATCAGAATTTGTATTGACATTCAGATACTGAGTATTGTGGAGGATCAGGTGTGGGGGGAGGGGTAGATATCAGTTTTTGCTGACATTGCTTTTTGGCAATAAACTTTGAGCATCCAGTCAGTCTTCTTTCTCTATAACCACTTGATGACTGGGGTGTTACACCCCCTTCCTGTCCAGCCCATTTTTCAGCAGTCATGTGCTGCAGTACTTAATACATTATATAAAGAAAAACGTGCCCAAAAATTAACCCTGTTTTCCCTACATTACGTTATGAAGCATTTCTTATTACCCAATTGTTTGGTAAAATATAAAAGACGGGGTCACGTCAGGTAAATAGACACCGATAAAGGATAGAAAATCCTAAATAGACACCAAACATGTCAAGCCTTAATATTGTGCACGCCCCTGAAATTGCAAAAAACGACCATACCCAAAATTGGGTTTAAAAGCTTTTAGCGCTCATCAGTTTAGTGTTAACAGTGATGGCCCTAAAATGATTGCTCGCACTCTGACATTCGCGGTGATATGTAGCATGTTCGGAGTAATGGGCGCAATCGTTGTATTTCCAAATAGGCGCACGCATGTTTGTATGTGGGGTGCTTTAACTTTTTCTTTTTTACACTTAACTTTATCGTGTAGGGGGGATAAGAAGCCCCCTACGTGATGGCACACATACAGTGACAGGTCCTCTTCATGGAGATATCAGGGGTCACTTCTGCATTCAGAGAGCGGAGGAGAGATCGTGTGGTGATCTCCCTCCGATCACTGTTCACAGAGCCCTGCAGGGGATCGGTGGAGGGGGCGCACTGAGCTGCACCACATATAAGCGATTTGGCAGCTGTTCACTCGCATTTAGGAGTGTCCAGTCTGGCCGTTTATATACAACAGCCGGACTGGAAGCAGTTAAAGAAGAACTTCGGGCAGAATAAATATTAACACTTGCAATGGGGCTGCCCGTGCATGGTAAGGGTTAAGTGACTGTTTTGGTCTAAGATGTAAATTATCAAATATATACTCACCTGATCCTCGGTCCCGCCTGGCTGCTAGACTGGTCCCACAGCCTCTTCTTCCCTGGGCTTTGGCGGTCTTATGATCTGTGACGCCATTATGCCTGTACAGTCTATTAGACGTGAAGACACTGAGGGACATACCACAGCTGGAGAGAGGTGAGTGATCACCGCTGCGAGAATGAGGATCAGGTGAGTATATCTTCTTCAAATTGTCGAACCAAGATTACAATGAGCACTTAACCCTTGCAGGGTGCAAGGGTTAATTTTTATTCTGCCCAGAGTTCTTCTTTAAGAATGTACTGGCCATATCTTCATGTGTGGCTTTTGCAGCTGTCGGTGTTGTTGGTGATCAAGGAATGGCAGATGTTCCCCTCACATCTTTCTTGGGGAGACATCTGGTCTGCTCTTGAAGCTGCAAAGCTTTGATATAAAGTGACCCTGTCACGACATACCCATATGCTCATACTCATACACTCTTACCCCATACATAGCCCAGCTGTAAAAGGAGTGAGACCACACTTGTCTCTCTGTCGGCCCGTATATTAAAAAGTTGCTGCATCTCCCCAGCTGCTGCAAGTATCTGACCATCAAACGAGTTGAATATGTGTTCCCACTGCAAGGAAATGTGGTTCCTCCCAAAGGCTTGTATGTAATGTAGTGACATAATAGCTGGCGGGAGGTACTACAGCAGCTCTCCCCGTTGTTTGGAAGGAGGCCTGGCGCTGAGAGAGGTTACCCCAGGAGATCCCACTGTGTTGTCACTCTGGAGAATGCAGTGGGGACCTCAGTGCTCATTTGTTCCAACCCTTGTTTTTGTTGTACTTCTGTCTGGACGGGCAGCTTTTAAGGGCGCATTCTCACTGCTACGGTGTTTTTGTGATTAACGCATGCTGCCACACAATGCACCTAGCATGCATTGCAGTGTGGCAGGTGCATTGCATATCCATACATTTGAATGGCACCCCAACGCACCTCCTGGCTGCAATGCACTCCGCCATGGTGCCATCTGGGATACTGCTCTACCGTGCGTTGTGATGCAGTGGAGAAAAGAATGCACACAGGCCCTACTTTTTTCCACCTCACCGCATGGTATTGGTATTACGGTACCGCATGTGGCACTGCAGTAGAGTAGATTGTGGCTGGGAGGTGCGTTAAGCCTGTGACACACTGCACGCGAAGCAGCGCGGTGGTGTGCAGACCTTCGCGTGCGGTGTGTCATGTCACTTTCACTCCAGCGCGTCAGCTTGCAAGAGCTCGCATAGCTGAGAGTGGCGAGATGAAAAATGTCATCTTCAGCCAATCGGCTCGCTTGTATAAACCCACGCGTCAGGATGCGAAGTTGTTACGCACAAACCGATTGGCTGAAGGTGCAGTCTTTCATCTGGCTGCGCTTAGCTCACCCACTGCATGTGAACATCCGTGCTTCACATGTAGTGTATCTTTCTATGGGGACAGATCCCTTTCAAATTGTTTGGAATAGCTTGTCGTCTGCAAAGCAATATCTTTTAAAATGTTTTAGGTATTAATACTTTGGCTGTAATACTTTGAGTCACTGACCAAAAACAAGTATAGATACAAGGAATACCAACTTTTTTCTGACTTTCATTTGGCTTGTTCTTGTTCCAAATCTAAAACAGCCAGGCCACTATGATTTCTAGGAGGAGGTCAGCAATGCAAACCCACATGTGTTCTTTCACAACAACTGCACTTTAATTCTGATTTCTCATGGAATGTGTTCTGCAAGGACCACTTTGCTACTATATATCTGTACATTGTGCTAGGTTTACACAACTAAAAGCCATAGGGATAACACAGTGTCCATTGGTTCACAAGTAGGCCACACATTACCTGTGCAAAGAAGCTTCAGATCATAATATGAGATAAGAATGTGATATTTTCATACAGTATAACAATAACCGCTAGTTGGTTCATAGCCATAAACATTCAACCTGCTATAGAGCTATGTTGGGAGAGAAATTAGCCTGCATATGATGCCAAGCCATCTTCTGGTCTCCCTTGGGATATAGACTCTGGAAATTGTATTTAACTAGTTTCTACATATATTACCAGTTTTGTTTTTATATTATTATTATATGGCTAATATGGTTATAGCCTGGGATATATCTCATAGGAGCATTGTGATTGTTTATCCTTTTTATGAAGCTGTAAAAAAAATTGAATCGATGCTCCATATTGTATTTGGGGATCAGACTTGATCCTCACTAATTCTATGATCTGTTGTTGTACAGTACACCTTTATGCCTGCATTCTCTGTTTTCCTGTATTGAATGATCAAAGTAAATCTAAAGGGGACTGATGAGCAACATTGGTCTTTTCATAGATGTTCCTGGAAATTGACAGGTCACCAAGAAATGTATGACGAATACAATTTTGTTAATTAAACTTGTTTTTTTTTCTCTTAACTCCATAGTTCTACAGCCAACTGTGACATTAAACAATGGCGTTATCATGCCTCTCCTTGGTCTGGGCACATTTCGTTTACGCGGACTTGAAAATGTTATTCAAGCTGTAGATGCTGCATTGAAATATGGCTATCGTTCATTTGACACAGCTTCTGTCTACCGCAATGAGGGTGATCTCGGCAAGGCTTTGCGCCAGCTTTTACCTAAATATGGCTTAAGCCGCGCTGATGTCTTCATTACAACTAAATTAGCCCCTGTAGATATGGGCAAGGGAGCACGTGAGGCTTGTCTGAAGAGCCTGGCTGAACTAGGATGCCAATACTTGGATCTCTTCCTGATTCATTGGCCAGGTAAGCAGGGGTGGCGAAGTGATGATACCCGGAACCATGAAGCAAGAGAAGAGAGCTGGAAAGCTATGGAGGACCTGTATCAAGCTGGCATTATTAGGGCACTGGGAGTATCTAACTACACAACATCTCACCTTACAGAGCTGCTTGGATCATGTCGCATATCACCAGCAGTGTTGCAGGTGGAATTTCATCCATGCCTACCACAATTTGACCTTTTGAATTGGTGTAAAAAGCATGAGATCCATTTCCAAGCCTACTCCTCTTTAGGATGTGGTGATCTACTGAAAAAGGATGAAGTGACTAAGGTTGCAAATATCCACGGACATTCCCCTTCCCAGATATTGCTTCGGTGGGCTCTCAGACAAGGTGTTGGAGTTATTCCCAAGGCTTCAGCCCCTGAAAGAATAAAGGAAAATATTGGGGTTTGGGACTTTGAATTGACTGACGAAGAAGCTGAGATACTCAGAGGAGATGGCACAGAGAAGAGATATTGCTGGGATCCCACTGGAGTAGTATAGGACTCTGTTTTATGGAGGTGTAGTTGTCTTCCTCCTTCACACCCAATTACTAAGATGTATATTTCCCATTTACTACTTTACAGAGCATATTATTAGGCTTCTCCTTTGTTTTAAGATCTAATTAAAACTTTCTTGTTTATTTGATAAACAAAATGAGTGTTATTTTTATGACTTGCCTATTGCATCCAAATTTCACCTTTTAAAAGTTAACTGCAGCATATTGCTCTTTTGTAATTACTAAATTTAGTGCCTAGATGTAAAAGAAATCCAACATCAAAACATATTATTTACAGAGGTATCTTCATGGGTATGGTGCGTTTTGAGAATCTAAACCTGTTTCCACATGATCATCTTTTATATCAATTTAGAAATTAGTTTTGGTGGAAACAATCTCTCCTTTTAGTAGAACAAGACTTTCTGTTCTACTTAGCACCTGTTTTGCCTGGCTGGACAGGAAGGGAGGGAAATCTTTTCAATGGACACCCAGAATTCATGGAAATCATGAGCGGTTCTACTTTTTCCACTACTGTACTAGATTTTGAAATTAATGTTTCCATTGGGTACATTTTCCTCTGTGACGATAATGGGGTTTGAGTCTATTAATATTAAATATAGCAATCTCTTGTCCCCCAGTTCAAGCAAATGCAGGCAATCATTTAGTTAACTTTCTCTCCACATTCCAAAAACCAGAGGTGTGCCCTAATCTGGCCTGTGACATATTTTTTTTTTTTTTATTGCCCCAGCACTAGATTCCCAAATAACCCTCAATCTTTTATGGCTGCCCCTTATTAAAGGCATGCAACCAGGCACTCGTCTATTACCAGTTGACAGGTTGATATAAACACAAACAGGTAGAGTTAGAATATCAGCTCCATTTCATAATTTGGAATTGGACAGTTTATTGTAAAATTAGGTGCACAAATAGCTGTGTCTCATCACAATGTGAACACATATCAAGAATGAATAGTTTACAATGAGCCACGGTTGGACAGGCAACATTTACCTTTCCATCATTCCCTCAGGACGTTTAGATTAAATCTAACTTAATGATGCATCATAATTTAAGGGTTGCCGGTCCGTATTAAATATGAATATCCAACTGTCCTCATAGTTATGAATTTAACTGTTTGGGAGGAGCAGAGGAGGAAATCGTAAAAGCTCGTCCCTCCTGCTCTTCCTCCCCAGCCCTGCCCTAGGGGCCGGCTACGAGGGCAGAAAAAAAGATACTGCGGAGGCAGCTAGAGCGGCTCTTTGTTTTGAAACATCAAGAAAGGAACTTCAGCAACATCAAGAAGTCTTAACATCGCAGAAGAGTTCCCCTTTAAAATCTGGAAATCATCTGTGCAAAGCTTGCTTGAAGAAGAGCCCTTCAGACCCCTCTTTTGTTTATTGAACTCTGTCAGAACTCCTAAAACCAGGACTGTTCAGTATTCTCCTTTTATTCCCTTTTACTGTTATATATTTTATCTCTTTTATTAATATATTTTTCTGTATATTTTCCTGCACCGTTTCTTTTATTAAAGGACGATCTTAAAAATCGTTAAGCTTATCTCTACGCTCTAAATACAAACTTAAAGTATTCTTGCTTCTGTGAAAAACGCTACTGTATAGTGAATCCTGTCATATTCCTGTCTGAGAGGACAGCGGTATCCTAGGTATTGTTTAAAATGGTCATAGCACTTGCTGGGAACGGTCCTTGTTTCCGTTAAAAAACACATGGTGGCAGCGAACGTTTGGTGTGTAAAAGGTTACCTGCCCTGGTGATGATCGCTCTGTCTGCTGGCCTGAGATTGTGCAGCGAGCAGGGAAATCTCTGTGCAGGATGAGGCTAAGAGTGGTATAGCCACGTCCTAGTGACGCCACGCTCGGTTCAGAACTGCGTATAGTCACGTGTGATTGACACAGTAGGTTCGGGCTGGGTCACACCCGCCACTTGCGGTTCCATCTGACATTCATCAGATAGGAAGTATGTAGAAATGACCTATATGTTAGAAATGCAGATAGCAATAAAAAGTTTAAGAACGTTTTAAAACTTGTTTGCCACATACATATGTTTACATCAGTTTTTCAGTTTGTGTTATTACTTTGGAGTATCTTCTTTTACCTTGCTACATGTGTTTCTATAATTTATATTTAAAATGTTTTAATTTTAATCATTGTTTCCCCGCATACTCTAAATTGATTGGAAAACATACTTGTTAAATCAAACATGCTGCAACCCCTCTATACCTCTATGATTAAGCCTAACAGGTGAAACGCGTAAGACGATTCTTGTATTGGGGAGCACTTCTGTGGTTTACACTTGTGGATCACAATAAATATTGGATTTACAATTAAAGGTCCGATGGTGGTGTTTGAGCTGAATACTGCAACCTTTGTCACAGGTCGGCTAGAACTATGAGGTGAGTGAAAAGCACTCACCTCATAGTTCTACTTTTAATGCAATCAAAATGCTGTCAGCTATAAATAAGTGCTTTCTTTTAAAAATTGACCTCAGGAAAATTTATTAAAAAGTGATTGAATCATTCCTACACACGGTTTTAAATTAATTTTTTAATTATATGGTTTCTCAATAAAACTATGTAGTGTTTTATATGATGTGTACGGCTCTTTCAGAGAGGAAGCTGAACTGAAGAAACAAGAACTGATGGTAGAGGTGTGGGGAACAAGAAAGGTGGAGTTGTCAATGAAGGGAGAGGTTGAAAATAGATCCACATCCAATCCTGGAGGAGAGATCTTTGTGATGGAAAGTGCATGGCTGAATGTAAACTGGACAGGATTTGGAAAGAGGACAAGAGTTTGTTACATGAGGCTGAATCATGATTGGGGGAGTAGATTTTAGACATCTGGATGGGGAAAGGGGTCTCTGGGTCAGAATACAGCGGGGAAGGTGGGGAGAGTCTTCTGCTGTAGCCAATGGACGCTGAAGTACAGGAGGTTGGATGTGATGAAATGTCAGGAAATTTCACTCAACAATCTGGTTGGACTTTAGCAGGCTATGGCTGCCATAAAGGAGCTGTGGATTGTTGCTAGTTAGTGTCACTACTTTATTCATGTGTTAGTGCTAGCTGGAAGAGCCTCTCCCACATGGTAAAAAATAACTGTCTCAGTAGAGATTAATAGAGAATGGATGGTATCAGGAGTGAAGGCTCTGAGAATTGTGGATAGAAGGGAGTTGAAGACATTGAGGCAACAATGGGTAGACAGAGCTGAGTAGGAACAGAAGAGGACAGCAATGACTGAGATCTAGAGAGAGAGGGTACTATAGAAAGACTTGGAATTTAATACATTAAACAGGTGAGTTCTAAAAACTCACTTGGGAAAGCAGGGCCATAGAGCAGGGGAGAGCATGGAGAGAGATAGAGTCACATTTAAAACCTAAATACAGTCACAACATTTTTTTTATCTTTCTGTAGAGTAAGAAAGGGTGAGAGTCCTTGTTAGATTATTTTTTTTTAAATCAAGAATCAGCTTTATTATACACAGAAAGGTACAATGACATAAGGAGACAGTGTCTCAACAATATAACAACTTCCGCGATACACATTCGGGGTAGGGGAGTACAGTCATATAATTACATGTATTGAGAGCATGAGAGGGCTAGCCAGCCCAACATAACAAGCGTTGTGTGGCCTTGAGGACCTTACGCATCACATTTGAAAAGTAAGTGGAAAGCAACAGACCACATGTTCAATACAATCGGACATCAGGTAATAAAACAACAGTGTGGTATAGGTCTAACACGGTCACAGGCACTGGGGCAGTCGCCCTTGGTAAGCAAACTCAGATAGGCTGACAGTTTCTGTCACTCCAAAACACATATGTCAATGGTTTGCTTATGTATGACATTAACGGGGATAGGCTAAGGCGGGAGTGTGGGTCAGGGTATGGAAGAAGGGTATATAGGGTAAGATAAGGGGGAGAGAGCCATAAGGAGGGGAACTGGGGGGGGAAAGGAGCAGCAAGGTTATGGGTCTAGAGAGTAGTGTTCCATTTCATTCCCCGCTCGGACCTAGGAGGGTGTCGTGGACATGGCCTGGCGGTAGGCATCTGCGTCCCATCGAGTGAAAAAGTTGTAGAGGGAGGCAGATCTGGGGTCACCGTGGGTGCTGTGGTCCTCTGCTCCTTGGGCATGAAGAAATTCAGGACATAGGGTTCGTTAAGACGTCGGTCCGGTTCAGTGGCTGCAGAGCTCTCCTAATGCGTGTGTTCACGGCGCCATGTCCAAGCCACGCCCCCCCCCTCATCAATGACTTAACCGCGACGCTGCCGGTCCATTAGCCCCTGCTGAAAACTACTAACTACTACTAACTGAGTGCTTGTACCCGCTCTCCATCCTGACTCGCTGTCACAGGAGGCTGAGCGAGTGGTGCGGGAAGGAGAGCTCAGTCTCCTGTGACAGCTGACTCCTCCCCTGCACCACCGGACCGGCCTCCTGTGACAGATTACACCACTCCTGATCTGTCGCAGGAGGCTGAGTGGGGTGGCGCGGGAGGAGAGCTCAACCTCCTGCGACAGCAATAACAGCTGTCTCTGCCCCCACACCACTCTCCTGATCTGTCACAGGAGGCTGAATGGTGCGGGAGGAGGGCCCGGCTTCAGCCTCCTGTGACAGTTTCTCTCCTCCCTGCTGGACGCTGTGTCGTGTCAGAAAGGACACAGAGCAGCGCCCAGCGGGGAGGAGAGCAACCAGGCATGCGCCGCAATTTCAGCCGAAAGATGGCACTGATTCCTGATTGGCCGGGAAGCTCCAGGCTCCCTCGTCACTAGAGTACTTGCCCAAATACTTGACATCGGTACCGATACTATTATCAGTGCATCCCTAATTTCCACCTTTTTAGAGCCATATTGGGATAACACCTATTTTATATTTGTTACATGTTCCCATTCACATCGCATAAGCTATAAAAAAAAAATAATTAAAAATGCTTCTCACAGTTGAAATTATTTATTTATACATTTTTTTGATAAACTACTTGGCTTCTCCTTCTTTGTACCGTAAGGGG